TGTATGTATGTATGTATGTATGTATGTATGTATGTATGTATGTATGTTTATAATCTATTATTTTCATGGTTTGACCAAAACAAAAGATGATCTTATAGTAAAACCGCACATTGTTTCAAGAAATTCTGTTTCTTGTTTAAACTAAGTTGATGACAAAAATTGTACAAGTTACACAAAGATTTTAAATATTTTTTAACTTCTCGTATGTACATTCAAATGGCCCATTATTTTATAACGATTGAACATTTATTTAATGTTACTTATCTAGTGTTGTTTCCTACTTTAACCTGTTTTTTAAGAGCAAATGAATGTAGAGAATTGTGCGGACAAGTTAGCATCAGTAAATAACATTTGCTTATGGTGTTTACTTGCAAGGCAAATAATGAAAAGCAGCTGCTTGACAGCTGCACTAATTACAGGAAATGGGAACTTTAAATTGTTGGTAGTATGTTTTTAATGGGTGCAGTCTGTTTAGCTTTATAAAAGTCTGATACTCAGCCCATTTCACTGCTACATGATCTAAAACCAGTGCAGCAGACAGAAGCATATTTCTGAACAGTCGACACAGAATGACATCATTGTTACAGTAATGGCAGCAGATGAAACATTATACCACAAAGGCAAGTCTAATGAAGTTTCGCCCCAGACAGTTTTACGATTTATGTTTCTCCCCACAGCTCTAAATGAAGGAACAATCTGTCAGGCAACCAAATAACAAGTAATTACACAAAACTGACTGTTGATACAGCTCTGACCCATAAAGTAAACTTGGCTGCTAAATTAATTGTTCACTCAATTTTTAAACCTTTAGATCCTGCCCAAACAGTTCTGCCAAGAGTGGGAAACAATGGCTGCTTCCAACTTGATAAATATCCTGTTAATAGTTTTCTTTTCAAGATGTTTTGGTGTTATTTCTAAAACTTACACTGTGGAGTCTTGATGTAACCAAAAAAGTATTCAAACAGAGGGAGAAGTCAAGGGCCAGGCCACAGGGGTTTGGAATCTGATGTTTACTAAAAGGGGTAGTGTGGGGACACGCCTCCACTGCCAAACTCCTCATGGGGTGAATGCTTCCATTGCTGCACTCGAGTCAGGCCGTAAAAGCACAGAGTTAGTGTTTTTGAGCTTGTGCCAACGCAGAGTGCAACGCAGAAGCTCAATGTAAATGTTCATGAAAGAGCCTAAAGGCTTTCTCCGTGAATTATGTTGATGTCGCTGCAGTAAACAAAAGACTGAGAGAAACTGATTTGATTTTAGGAGCTTCAGTTCATTTAAAGATAGTACTCTCTGATTTCAGCAGGGTGGAGCAAGCAGAACTGAGCAACAACATTAAAACATGGAACTTACTGGAAAATGCAGAATGTCACAGAATTCGTTTGTGAGTTTTTATTAACATTGTACATTTTTCACATTTGACACTTACTATACAAACAGTGGTGCTTGTTTGTGAACCCTTTAGAAATGTTCAATATTTCTGCAAAAATATGACCTAAAACATAATCACATTTTCAAACAAGTCCAAAATGTAGATAAAAAGAACCCAGTTACTGTAAGCAAATGAGACAAAAATGTTATATTTGGTAATTTATTTATTGAGGAAAATGATCCAATATTACATATTTGTGAGTGATAAAAGTATGTGAACCTTTGCTTTCAGTATCTGCTGTGACCCCCCCCCCCCCCAAAAAAAAAAAAAAAAAACTAACGGTAAATGTTTCTGGTATCTGTTGATCAGTCCTGCACACCGGCTTGGAGGAATTTTAGTTCATTCCTCTGTACAGAACAGCTTCAAATCTGGATGTTGGTGGTTTCCTCACATTAACTGCTGCTTCAGGTCCTTCTACAACATCTGGATTGGATTAAGGTCAGGACTTTGACTTGGTCATTCCACAACATGAACTTTATTCTTCTTGAACATTCTTTGGTAGAACCACTTGTGTGCTGAGGGTCATTGTGTTGCTGCATGACCCACCTTCTCTTCAGATTCACTTCATGGACAGATGTTCTGACATTTTCCTTTAGAATTCTCTGATATAATTCAGAATTCATTGTTCCATCAATGATGACAAAAAGTCCTGGTCCAGATGCAGCAAACCAGGGCCAAACCATGATACTGCCACCACTATGTTTCACAGATGGGATATGGTTTTTATGCAGGAATGAAGAGTTTTCCTTTCTCAGCCAGCAGGTTAACCTGGTTCAAATCCCGGTCGGGGGCCTAACTGGGCGGAGTCTGCATGTTCTCTCCGTGCATGTGTGGGTTTTCTCTGGGTATTCCGGTTTCCTCTCACAGACCAAAAACATGCATGTCGTT